CAGGGAGCCCGATGTGGGGCTCGATCCCAGGACCCTGGGATCATGACCTGAGCTGAAGGCAGACGCTTAACAACTGAGCCACCCAGGTGCCCCTGTTTGTTTTGTTTTTAAAGATTTTATGTATTTGTGAGAGAGAGGAAGAGAGAGAGCACAAGCAGGGGGAGCAGTGGGCAGAGGGAGAAGCAGGCTCCCCACTGAGCAGGACCCTGGGATCATGACCTGAGCAGAAGGCAGACACTTAACCGACTGAGCCACCCAGGCATCCCGGCAGAGGGTGTTTTAAAAGTAGTCAATTGAAATATTTTCTAGGAAAGAGACAAGTAAAACAACAAAAACAAAATTGTAGAGTATCACGGCAAAATAATAGTGCTTACAAACTGCCGTATCGGTGAGAACACCCACATTTAATACTTCAATAAAAGTCCTTACATCAAAACAAATAAAGAGCCATTGCCACTAAACTGAAAAAGAATTTTAAAGTGAGTTTTCAGAAGATATGTCAGATCAGGGTTCTAACAGTAGTAATGTCTAAGAAAGAAAGTGATAGAAATCATTATTAACTTACTCAAGTTTTCTGGCGTTCGGGGAATTTGGTTCCTTGTTAAGAATGGGTTAGACACTAGAGAATCAAACAGTTCCTCTAATTTTACTTCTTTTCCTTTAGAGGGCTGTGGTGAATCAGATAAAACCGCCCTGGCAACCTAAAACAGAAAAGGTAAAGCAAAAATTACCACATCCATTGGTGGAATGCAACAAAAGCCCTAATAAGAACAAATCAGCACCTGCCAGGCAGCAGCCCCTACCACAGCAGATGGCACAAAAAGCCGCTCAAAAACATAGCTTGCAGCCACTCTGTCTCATCTATCTAGGCACAGCCCTGTAAGGTGAACTTAAAACATCAAACTGTTTCCGCCCTTCTTCTCTTAACTGGATATCCCATTATAAAGGAAAGGTAAAAATCTTTATACCTGAGAAGATTCAGAGATAATCCTGACTACACAGTGACCTAAGCTACTATCTGCCACATCTTTGAACTTGACAATTCTGTATCAGCTGAAGTGGCTAGTTTTAAAGCAAGCAGATTTTTCTTAATTATAACCCACTTGCACAGTAACACCTCTATTAACAAATGAAATACACTCTGACAACATACTTCTTTGCCAGAAACCTCATTAAGAGACATAAATTAGTGAACAAGGCATAGAAGTACATTCTAAAATAGAGACAGTATACAATATGAAAATAGCACTATACAATTTCAATAAAACTGGAAAACAAAAAACATGCACATTAAAATCACTGCCCCAAGAGCCCTAAAAAATAAACGTCCTAGAACCATAATCAAATAGACTCCCATTTACCCTCCCCCATGAAAACAGAAGATGTCTTAGAATCAAACACTAAATATTTCTTGTCACGAACACTACTAAAGAAAATTAATTTCACTTTATTTTTTTTTTTTTTAAAGATTTTATTTATTTATTTGAGACAGAGAGAATGAGAGACAGAGAGCATGAGAGGGAGAAGCAGACTCCCTGCCAAGCAGGGAGCCCGATGCGGGACTCGATCCCGGGACTCCAGGATCATGACCTGAGCCGAAGGCAGTCGCTTAACCAACTGAGCCACCCAGGCGCCCTAAACCAAATTTTTCTTTCAGTCTCTCAGGAATATAAAGTAGCTGATTTATTTTCAGCCTCCTTATCCAAATTCAAACAATGCTAAGGGATGTTGTGGGAAATGTAATAAAAATAACATGAGAGAATGGCTTGAGAATCTGTGTAAACTTCTGCAGTAAATAGTACAATATTACTATCGAGCAACAGTAGCATTATGTAGTCACTTGCCAGTGAAAAGTCACTTGTCAGGAAAACCAAGATCATGAACAATGACGCATTTAATGACTTTTTAAATATTTAGAAAGCAGAAGGATAAACACTATGCTTAGTGATAATATGATATTGCATAGTCTTTGTGCTAACATTCAAAAAAAGAGGAAGCCTGGCTAAGCAACAGCAACATTCAGATTATTTTTTTTAAAGCAGATTATTTTAATAGAGTACAATCATTGGGTATATTCATCTAGCAATTTATGTAATGGTTAATTCCAAAAATACCTTACCTGTGTTATTTTTATACTTTTGGATGATACTTACAGAATGGGACATGGATTCTAAACCATGGATATAATGTTAAATAAGTTTATATTAATCTATTTCTATTTTTGGGGAGAACCAATTTTGCTTTAACCATGATTTGCATTATCTGTGTCCTCCTTTCCCAAATTAACACCAGTTAATCAATAATTAACTAACTTCACTTATAATCTCAACACCAATGAGAAAATAATAGATATTTCAGTGTACTTATTATAATCTTTTTCTAACCTCTTCTACCAGATGATCTTGCTCTTTTTGGAGTGGATCCCTATTTTTAGCTGGCAGAGACCCTGTAAATGCAGTATTCTCTGTACTCCTTGCAGTATCTGATGATAGACAGTCTTTAGTTTCAAATTTTGATGTCTTCTTAGAAGGTGTTTCATTTCCTTCTCTAGGAGTTCTTATCTTCATGTCCTGAAGAAGACAGACATGTAATGTTGAAACTTTAATGATTGTGGCTGATCTTCAATTAGAGGTTCTTGAGCTATCACAAACCTATAAAAGGCTAACATTATTGTGAAATCATATGTTCACTGGCACAATTAAATAATTCCAATATTTCCATTTAGAAGCAATAGGATATATGTAAATACAAATTAACTGGGAAAGCGGCAAAAATAATATTTTACCATAAGTTAGTTTGATCAGATTAAAAATTGTTTTAAAGTATACCTTTTCAAGTAATCTAACACTGTTTCTATCTGATGATGAAACTGGCTGTGACAGGAAAGAAGCAGGTCTAAAAGGAAAAAAGATAATAAATCCAAATTATAATCGGGAAAGAATTCCATTCACTTGCTATATCTGAATAATTTAAAGAAACTGTCAAAAAAATAATAAAAAGTAAAAAAAAATAAAGAAACTGTCTGCCCCGTATCTGTCCGTTACGATTTCCCTCAATTCGTCCCGGTCATCGAAAGGCAGTTTATTCTAGGGAGGGATGGTGACAATCAGAGCAGTACTTCGGCCCCATTTGTGTATCAGCCTCCCACGTGACAAACATTTTCCTTAACCACTATATATTTTAAGTCAACAACATTCTTTATAAGGTTGAATGACTTGATTAACACTAGAATCGCATTATTATATTATCCTTAGGCTTCAGATCACAGAATTTCATTGTAACAGAGACTTTAAGATTTTGATCTTTCATGTCCAAAATCAGTTTCTCTTATGCTGAATCTTGCGTGATAGCACATACATTACTTACACTTACAGTCAAGTCATAAGGTTGTTCAGTTTCAGTTTGCTGCATTCTACACATAGCATTCCTTACTCTCTTAGATTCTCTCGCCCCTTTGGATAAACATAAAAACCTTACACATCAATTACAAAATAAGTAATTAAATTTTTAAAGCCATCAAAGCAATGATAACTTCATCTTATCTTGAAAGACCTTTCAAATTCAGTCATGGATGGGGTCTGCTCACTGGTCAAAGCTTTTCTACTCCAGGTAATACAAAAGTCAAGATTACCACGGAGACCACTTTCAATATCAAGTATGTTGGTGCTTTGCTTTCTGTTCACAGCCAGAAGTACAAAATTAATAGCTTTAAAACATTTCAAGTAACAGCAAATACGCTTTTTCAAACTTTTTCGAATACGAGCTTCTTGGAATCTTTATCTACCTTCCAAACAGAATTCAAGATCCCTGAAACTGCTTCAAGGCTCAACTCTGCCTCGACAGAAGATAATCTAGATGTCAAAAGAAAAAAACTAATCATCTACTGTGACTGTATCTTAATTTTTCCAAAAAGTAACATTAAAATGATCAAAAAGCCCTCTGAAACCGGGCTAGCAATCTAAGATGCCACTAGGATGCCACCACCAGATTGTGAGCTCCTGGAGGACAAAGACTATGTCCTTCCTGGCTGTTGCCAGGAACTAACACAGTGCCTGGTACTTGGCAGTGCAATACATGTTTGTAACTAACCGATGGATTGACTGAATCAACGAATAAACATCACTTGAGCATGAGGCTCTATGGATAGATGCCACCAAATTTTTCTATTTCGATCATTCTTACAAAGCCTCATAAGAGACAAAACTGGAAACATATTCTCTCCCTTCCTCTCTCCCTTTTCTGAATTGGCAACATGCTATCAGCCCTGCTAACATCTCAATCCAAGCCAACTTTAAAGCAGCCCTGGCTCAGCCCTTACTCCCTATCTGCTTCCTATGCCAAAACTGAGGCCCACAAAATCCTAGCACTGTAAACAGAGTATCGCTCCCATTATGGGAATTTATCCTAAGGAAAGAGTACACCCAAAAGAAAATAAGAAACAACATGCTTTTTATAGTAGTAAAAGAAAATGAGGAAAATCTGAGTCTAAAAAATAAATGAAATGTTACAAAGCCATTATAAGTAAAAATCAGTAATATACTATTAAGAAAACAAACACACAAAAACTGTACTTATGGATATTAATGTTTAGAAAATTTTGAGTGGATTCAATTTATATGTTTGTACATAAACCCCAAAAAAACAACTTGTGAAAAAAGTCTAATAAGTGATTTGTTAGAAATTCTAGCTAATTATTCTTCATTTTTATTTTGTTGTTACAATATATCTACAGTTGGGCGCCTGGGTGGCTCAGTCGTTAAGCGTCTGCCTTCAGCTCAGGTCATGATCCCAGGGTCCTGGGATCGAGTCCCGCATCGGGCTCCCTGCTCAGCGGGGAGTCTGCTTCTCCCTCTGACCCTCCCCCCTCTCATGCTCTCTCTATCTCATTCTCTCTCTCAAATAAATAAATAAATAAATAAATAAATAAAAGGATTAGACCAGTAACGGGCTAAATTAAATTCATCCACGGCACCAGAGGGCGCTGCAGAACAGTCTGAAAACTAGGAGACTAGATCTCAAAAGCTCTTAAACTCTTAAGATTGTCAACAGCCACAAGTGGTTTCAAAGAAGTTCACAGACACAAAAAGGCAAAAATTCCCAAGTTTGCATTAGATAATTTTTTATTTTTTTATTTATAAATAATTTTTTATTTATCTAAAAAAGCATACATGCTTTTTTTCTTCAAATATTAGATAATCCCCTATGAATCCCAACATTTAGACAAACAAGAGAAGGGGGAAAAAAATGCCTATGTATCAGAAGTGTTGACTCTTTCTTGAAAATGCAGACCCATAGTGGAAAAATATTCTCTGGTTACGAGAAGAAAACTACAGATGACCCCATCGTAGAGAAGCATGGCAATTAGAGTAAGATGAAACTAAATTAATGAAGGAGGGAAAAAGTCAGTATCAAAACATTTGTTTTACCTGTTGCCTAGATCATATACAGCTCCCGATATATCACTAGCTCTCCTGCAATCATTTTCTTGGTTTTGTTGCTTTGGTGTATCTAAAGGAAAATAAACATTAATTACTCTTAAATTATGTTTGTATATTCTGATATCCAGGGATATCTTGAAATTCTAGAAAAACTTCTGAACAGAAGAAAACAGAAAAATCAGACTAATATAAATGCTAATAGAAAAAGACAACTATTCAATGGGACGTCTGGGTGGCTCAGTCAGTTAAGCATCTGCCTTCGGCTCAGGTCATGATCCTGGAGTCCTGGGATCGAGCCCCATGTCTGGCTCCCTGCTCAGCAGAGAGCCTGCTTCTCCCTCTCCCTCCACCTGCCACTCTGCCTACTTGTGCTCTCTCTCTGTCAAATAAATAAATAAAATCTTTAAAAATATATATATATATATCTACAGTTAAAGATATAACAAACAGAAATTATAAAAAGAGAAAGATATGCGATTAGAATTCAATTTCTAAGACTAAGGATATTTAGTTGGCATGCATGCAAGATCATACTGCCCTATTTCTGAAATGCAATAAAGGAGGAACTGTAGAGGCTAAAAGTCTAGAACTGCATTGCCACCACTAGAAATATCATGGAACCCTCCCTTCCAGAAACCACTGCAAAGAAAGGTAGTGCCCAGAGTGTACAGCAAAGGTACCACCAATCACTGAATTCTGGTTTTAAGTACGGTAAAGCCTCCATCAGCTCACTCTAATCAAAACCAGCCATGAGATTTATGGAGAAGACAACAGCTATTCTGGTACCCGTGGGTGACAACTGCATGTGAAAGGGCTAATAACACACAGTAATTATGCTAAAAACTACATGCCTTCCATGTTTTTTAATTGAATAGCTGTTACTGATCATATCCACATACGAATTTCCAAATTAACTACATTGATACTGACATTAAGATGATGCCACTACAAATAAAAGCTTAACTACACGTTAAGAAAAGGGTATTACAGTCTACCTACATTACGCATTTCCAATAAAACATTTTATTACAAAATACCTTTACAATAAAGAATTCTGAGCAACAAGCTTCTTTCCTCGTGACTCAATTCTTCACCCTTCTTCTGTTTTGCTATCAAGCAGCAATAATCATTCATATCCCATTGAACACTTATTTGTCCCTTACCACCAATAGCCTTCCCCTACACCTCCCCCCTTCGATATCCCAAACCTATAATTAAAGTATCAGAAGATAATTAAAAGATCTAACGGCTTGGAAGAGTATAAATCTGGAAATCAAAGTTTATTTAATACAACCTCTTTTTCCTATATTAAGAGAATTCCATGTGAACTAAATTCTTAGGGGCTATGTGTCTGGCTCCTATTGAATCCTGATAGTTTATCTTAGTACAAAACTCTGCTTCAAGAAAGATTCTTGAAGTTCAATGAAGTTCATAAATAAAATCTGATCTATGAATCAATCTACTAACTCCATCAATCTTTAGTCCAGCAAGAGACCTTAATCAAATATTTCATTTGCTCTCTCAAGGAAAAGACAAACCAAAAACATAACTGAGATTGGGAAGCAGCAACTATTCCCCTCTAGCATGCTTTAAGAACAACAGTGATAAATAACGGGGTAAAAGAGTGAAGCCCAGTAACTTCACTATCTCGTCAATGTCAAGTCTTCACAATAGATTTCATTATTTTTCTTTAGGTACTCCGAAAATCAACATCACATCCAGATCTAAGAATAAAAATATAAATATTCCACAAGTAATCCTGACTTCCTGTGAATCAAAAATTACTGCACAGTGGGCGCCTGGGTGGCTCAGTTGGTTAAGCGACTGCCTTCGGCTCAGGTCATGATCCTGCAGTCACAGGATCGAGTCCCGCATCAGGCTCCCTGCTCAGCAGGGAGTCTGCTTCTCCCTCTGACCCTCCCCCCTCTCATGTATTCGCTCTCTCTCATTCTCTCTCAAATAAATAAATAAAATCTTTAAAAAAAAAAAAAAAATTACTGCACAGGAAACTGCCAAGAGCTCAAATTCTTTTTTTTTTGAAGATTTTATTTATTTACTGGTCAGAGAGAGAGCACACGTGCACAAGCAGGGGAAGCAGCAGGCAGAGGGAGAAACAGGCTTCTGGCTGAGCAGGGAGCCCAATGCGGGGCTCGATCCCAGGATCCCAGGATCATGACCTGAACCAAAGGCAGACGCTTAACTGACTGAGCCACCCAGGCGTCCCACCAATAGCTCAATTTCACATATAAATTTTGACTCTTTTTATGCTGTTTGAACTTATTAACTTATTAGGAGTATATAGAAGGAAGAGAACTTCAATTCATTTAAAATTTAGAATTTTCTTTTAGAATTATCCTAAGTAAATTGTTTCCATATCTGTGCCTCAATTACATGGGAAAGTCGGACTGAAAGACCCCTATTTAGGTCAAAGGTAGTCAGAAAACAAAAAAACAACAGAACACCCAATTCAGTGTGTTTGATTGCTACCTAATAATGCTTAGTTTCCAAAAAGAATATATTCCCCAGATAGATTATATACATTTAGATTTTTGCGTATATAATCTGGCATCTGTTTTAAGAGCCAAAACAGGATAATAAAGAAAACAGGCAGTAAAGAAAATAAGAATACTCCTGAAGGATATTATAATAAACTAAGGTTTAGTTTTTTCATATGTTAAATTTTTGGATTAGATTGAATCAGAAGTCTTCCTATTTTTTTTTTTTTTAAAGCATGGAACTCTTTTTATCAAATAGCATGTAAAACCCCCAACATATACAGATAAAAGAACTAGCTGCTCAGGTTGAAATGGAAAAGGATTAGACCAGGGCGCCTGGGTGGCTCAGTTGGTTAAGCGACTGCCTTCGGCTCAGGTCATGATCC